CTTTTGGACTATACATATAATTGAGTCCATCTTCATTTGTCCCTTCACACGCTTTGTGAAGGGGACAAATGAAGATGGACTCAATTATATGTATAGTCCAAAAGGAAATATATTTTTTCTATACACGAATTTGTCCTGGCAAATTTTTAGTGTATTTATTTATTTAATAATAGTGCTGGCCACCGCTAAAGGACTTCTTAACTCATTTACATTGGACGGCGAACATGTAGCCTCAAATAAAAGGTTGGTATTGCCGTAAATTTGTTATTGTCTCTGCAAAGCATGCGAAGGGACAAATGAAGATGGACTCAATTATATGTATAGTCCAAAAAAAAATATATTTTTACTATACAATATATAACTGTGTTCACTTAGTAGTAATGAAATGCCATTCTGGGTCAATATAATCAAATTATATTTTAAATTATTATTTAGAGGAGGAGTTGGAGTCAAACCTAAAAGTCTGAGTTGGAATTTGGGACTAGGTCTGCTGGTTCCATAGCCCTGATAGACAACAGCAAAAAAATTCTGTACAAAAGTCTTTGTCAAAAGTGCAGAGAACTCTTAAAAAAACAGACTCAAATTAACTTTTTATCATAGGCTATACTTACAATAAAATATGTAAAGAAGGAACAGTATCCTCTGCTGGCAGTGATAATTAAAAAGTTTAAACACCAAGAACTATGTTTTGGATTTTTTATAAGAAAATTTGAAGAAATTTTTAAATCATCATTAGCCAGAAGATACTGTTGGATTTTTTTCTTTTTACATATTTTAACATTGATCTTTTATTGCAGGCTATGACCTATCTGATTGTTTTAGGAGTTCTAAGTTAGAGAAGGGCTTTTGTATAAAAACTGCTTTGTGATATTGTATAACGTTAAAAGCAATAAATTAAATTTTCCTCCAACTTATAAGACCTTTTTTTTTTGGCTTATCTCCCAATAATGATATTTTTTATGTTTCTCTTAGTGGCCATTGTTCAGAGGTTTAACTGTATTATTAATATAAGCTCATCAAATATTTAGAAATTTTGTATTTTAGTTTCAGTTTTATTACTAACATCTAATTATGTAATTTTATTATTATTAGAAATTCGTTATTATTACATATTAATTATATTTTTTCACATTCATTTGAAATTAAAATGTTATCTAATTTAAAATTTTTGCAAACATATAATTCTAAATAAAAGTTATTAAATCTGCAATAAGACAATTCCAAGCTATAGTAGTATAAATAGTTCTATTGTCAAATCAATGATAAAATTATTGAAATAATTTATCAGTAAGTAATGTAGAAAGTTCTGTGCAAAATCATAAGCATTGAGGGAGGAAAAAATACTTAATTATATTCTGAAATTCTATATAAATTACAAATCCAAATAAAATGTTAATAAATTAAAAAATATCAAAATTAGTGTATTTTGAAAGTTGTAGTCAGTTTTAAAATTTAATTAATTTTTTCTAATATTTATTTTACAATTAATTATACTGAATATTGTTTTACCCAGTTTTGTTTTTATAAACACACATTTTTGGACATTGCTGTTGACAGATATCAAAAGGATTTAATTTCTAGAATAGTTTTTCCCATGTATTGTGTTATGTCCCTTGAGGATTGCAAAACATATTACAGAATGCTAAAATAAAGTTGCCAATTAAAACAATGTCACACTTCCTTTAACTTACCAAAAACTAAAGTATAAAATACAATTATTATTATTTAAAATAACAACAAAGAAAATGTATAACATTATAAACAAATAAAAAAATTATTTCTGATTAGAAAATAAAATTCCAGCATTTATGGAGTTTTAAAATCTACAATATTATCACTTAAAATCAGAATCTCACTGCATTTCATAAATATAAACATCTTTTTTTTTCATTTATTTATAATATGAAGTTACAATCAATAAAAATAAATCTGTACTAAAAAATTGTTGGAATGTAAATAAAAATGTATATATATTATAATTCATAATTAATTTTTATATTATACAATAAATTAATCATATCATATTGTTAATATTTAAAACATTTAGTAATTTTATTCCTAGCAGCTTTTTAAATTCATTAGAAAATTTTCTCTCACTTGAAAAGACAGAAAGCATTACATTGGAATAGAAAAAGCTATTTTAACAATTGCACTTAAGTTATTGTTTTGTTCCCTTTTGAGGGAAAAAGCAGTTCAATTTGAAGTATAACTTTTAATGACATTTTTGTCATAATCTTTATGAAACAGTTCAGTGTTTAACAGAATGCATATAAGCCTCTATTTATAAACTACTGTGTTGTTGACTAACATTAACAAAATAACTCAAATCTGATTACAATTTTTCTCAATTTTTTAAAAGATCATAGCTATGTGAAATGAAAGTATTATTATATAAACATCTTCCTTGAAAGTTCATATTACTAAAGTTGATAACATGTTATAGTTGTATCTCTCTGCCTTTAAAGAAAAATCTATACAAAATCATGTATTGGTAAGATTTTAAAATATGTTGTTTTAATTTTTTAATCAAAGTACAAATAAGCTTAGATTTAAAAATCAAAGCATATTTTTGCTTTTTCTAGATTTTTATAAAATATTAACCGCACTTTAAAATAAAAAAAATGTCACTGGTCAATAATTATAATCAGTTATCTGCTGGTTGAAATATTGATTAAAAAAATCATTACTGATACAATATTATTTAAAATAAACATAGTACACTCTTGCTAATCCAAACCAATTTTGTTCATTCATGACTAAATATTCCAACTAATAACAAAAAAAAAAAAAAAAATCAAATGTTTTTAAAAACATGACANTTAATATAAAAAATATATAGAGAAATCATTTTCTCAAAATCCTAGACATGCCTTGTAATGGCATATATAACATGAGACATAATGCCATATATTCTGTATGATTTTATATGCTATTGAATAAAAATTATCTTGTTTAAAGCTGTAAACAAAGAATAATTATCGAAGAATTACACGTGCTTTTTCTTGTAGTTCTTCGCATTTTCAGATTATATACTAAATAAATATTATTCTAGTTTTTATTTAATTTATTTCATAATTTTCTGAATACCTATTCATATTTTCAATTAAAACAATATATATTGTAAAACAAATGAAGTAATTATTATACTAATTACGAATAAAAATATGCTGCAAAGTGTTTGAAAAAGAAGAATTTCATATGAATATTAACACTTAATAAGAAAATGAAATTGTAAGATATTTAAAAACACTTATTTTTCAAATAGTCTATTTATAATAATCTAATAATCTATTTAGAATGGTTATAATATTTTATATTTGAAATAATTATTATTTAATCACTTATTCTGTGATAATTTTAAGATACAAGGTGATTCAAAAGTCTTCATAAATAGGCAAAGGTTTAGCTTATTATGCAGTTATAACTGAACGCACAACTCACGCACGAAAGCACGTTAACACATAAACAATCATATATCTCCTTTCTAGTGATTTGTGTTTTGTATAGAAATTTTTGAATCACTTTGTATAGATTCCCAACACGGAATAGCGCAGTTTCCATCTATTTTGTTATTGAGGATTTAATTGTAAGTAATATAACTTCACGTAAACATTATGACATCATTTTCAAGGCTAACATTTTTTAATATAATTAACCTCTAAAATCTAAAATTTACATATGAAAAATTTCTATTATATAACTCTAATATTATTTTCAAGTAATATTTTTTAATTAAGTTTCAAATTATTCTTTTGCTAACATATTTTGCATTCTAATATTGAGGAATAAACTTTGATGTATGAAACTGTTGATTTGACATTTAGCTGTACTTGTGACTTTTATCTCTGGCAGCCAAATGGAAATGGTTAATGAGATTAAATTTCTTTTTTTTCTGGAATAAATTGTTCTAGCTCTGACATACAACAATTTATTACACTCGTGCATAGTTGTAGCGATAAATAATCGTCGGTGTAACACTTCATAACGAATAAATCTGGAATATTTTTACTTTAATTTCGTCCTTTTAAAATAATCTGTACGAATTTAGTGTAAAATATTTAAGGGAAGAATTTGTATATGGATTTGTTTTTTTAATAAACGAAATGGCGAGTAAACTTTTTTTACTACCACTTGTTCATTAGGCTTAAGAAATGTCAAAATATCAACAGGATTGTATAGTTACCGCATAAAATGCGAGCGAAACCAATGTGTATAATTATGACTGCGGAGGCAGATTAAGTTAGAAGATAGCACAATATTCGGTTAGCACATCGAAAAGGCTGTCGATTTGGCCAGTTTTCAGGTCGATACGACCTGAAATGATGATGGCGGACAAACGACGATTCGGTCGACGACGTTTCTTATACCGAAACAATCGGAATTATGGGATACGGTTAATAATCCATCTTACCTGTCTATCTATCTTGGATTTCATAGAATTCATGCATCCTAACAAATATTTATCCCTCTTGTCTCCGTCATTGGCAGTTGAAAGAGCCATGTGGATGCATTTTGACGTTCGTCTGACAGATTGAAGAGATCCGATGTCGCCCTCTGGCGCTAAAACCTAAACAAATCACTTTTTTTTGATCGAAAAAATTTGCCGATTAACTTATCAACCAGTTTTTCTAAAAGTAAAGTTTTATAACTAGCAGACGACTAAAATTCCATTTGCGTCGATTAAATAAGGTCGCGTGCGTCACGCGCTGAGATTGTGTCGAACGATGAAGTCCGCGCAGACGATCGACTGTTTCGCGCCATTTCCGTGACGTCATCGGATTGTGCGTCAGGTGGATTTTTTTTTTTTCATTTTTATTAATATTTCTCGACAATAACCGTCTATTTTCCATGAATAAAATTAAAATTTCGTATAAAATTTATATAAATATATATNATATCCCATCTTTGTGAGATTTTTATGAATTCGAATCTTAGTTTAACACCTCAGCAGACAAATTTGCTGCGATAACATCAAATTGTTGCGCTTAATGTGATTTGATGCTTCACTTTATGAATTCAATCCGTAATGCATTGTTGTTTTGTTCTTAGTTTTTGATAATATGAACCTTTCATTTTTTATAAAAATGCCATATAAAGTTACTTATTGCTTCGGGAATATTCGTCATTAATATTCAATACTTAGTACGTACTACTATATATATATTATTTATTCTATAAAGATTTGTAGATTCTATGAGGTAAGTTTAAATGAAAACTTCAAACAAATATCGACTTGTAATTGAACAAACAGTTAGTCTTTGATAGTATGATAAAATTGAAATCATACTTAAGATATATCTCTTGTTTGGCATGAAATGTACAATATTAGACGCTCATATGTTTTATTATTTGTTAGCTTTAATTTTTTCGAAATTAATAAATATTTCATTAAATTATTCTTAGGTTTTAATAATTTTGACAATATAAAATAATATTAAATTACATTTCATATTTATACTTTTCTATACTTTCCCTTTTAGGATGAAACCGAACGTAAATAAATAATTAATATAAAAAATATATAGAGAAATCATTTTCTCAAAATCCTAGACATGCCTTGTAATGGCATATATAACATGAGACATAATGCCATATATTCTGTATGATTTTATATGCTATTGAATAAAAATTATCTTGTTTAAAGCTGTAAACAAAGAATAATTATCGAAGAATTACACGTGCTTTTTCTTGTAGTTCTTCGCATTTTCAGATTATATACTAAATAAATATTATTCTAGTTTTTATTTAATTTATTTCATAATTTTCTGAATACCTATTCATATTTTCAATTAAAACAATATATATTGTAAAACAAATGAAGTAATTATTATACTAATTACGAATAAAAATATGCTGCAAAGTGTTTGAAAAAGAAGAATTTCATATGAATATTAACACTTAATAAGAAAATGAAATTGTAAGATATTTAAAAACACTTATTTTTCAAATAGTCTATTTATAATAATCTAATAATCTATTTAGAATGGTTATAATATTTTATATTTGAAATAATTATTATTTAATCACTTATTCTGTGATAATTTTAAGATACAAGGTGATTCAAAAGTCTTCATAAATAGGCAAAGGTTTAGCTTATTATGCAGTTATAACTGAACGCACAACTCACGCACGAAAGCACGTTAACACATAAACAATCATATATCTCCTTTCTAGTGATTTGTGTTTTGTATAGAAATTTTTGAATCACTTTGTATAGATTCCCAACACGGAATAGCGCAGTTTCCATCTATTTTGTTATTGAGGATTTAATTGTAAGTAATATAACTTCACGTAAACATTATGACATCATTTTCAAGGCTAACATTTTTTAATATAATTAACCTCTAAAATCTAAAATTTACATATGAAAAATTTCTATTATATAACTCTAATATTATTTTCAAGTAATATTTTTTAATTAAGTTTCAAATTATTCTTTTGCTAACATATTTTGCATTCTAATATTGAGGAATAAACTTTGATGTATGAAACTGTTGATTTGACATTTAGCTGTACTTGTGACTTTTATCTGTGTTTCATTATTTAAGAAACAGATCCAAAATAATAAATATGGGTTGTTATTGATGTAAAGTACAGTAGTTATTGTTATTGATGTAAAGTACAGTGTTAGCTATTAGGTATTTCAAAAAGTAGACAAGTTGCAAGAACAGTAAAACGTTAGAATTGTAAACACTGTACGCTACTGTAGCTGCAAATTAAATATCATATGAACAATTATTACAAAAATCTATTTGTATTGGGGAAATTCTGTTAATAATGTAAAAATGCTTACTTTAATAAAAAAAAAAAAAATTAATGAAAATCGGTATCGTCCAGACTTCGTGTTACTCTTTCAAATTTTTCTTTATTTTTGAATTTTTTTTCAATAAAATAACAAAGACTCCCAATAATCAATAACATCAAAAAGGAATGAAAAGCAAATTTCTATGCAAAAATTATAAAAGTTGTTAATATATTTTAAAATAAAAAATTTTATCTAGATTAATTAATTATTCCGTATTTTCTTCTTCACTGAAATTTTTAATTTGTTTTATTATTTTCTGAATTGTTACTCATTTTCTAAACTATGAATTTTATATTCTTTTCGAAACGATATATATATTCGTATTCTAATAAAATATAAAAAATTGCGAATAGGAATTTGAGAATACATGCGATGAATTTAACTGAACATATGTGAATTGAAATAATTTTAAACAGACAACAGACTATTCTATTTTCATTCACCGCATAACATTAATGATATGATGAATTCTGTAATGTGGCGTTGCTTTGAATGTTCCTTTTTCTTTCAAATTTTAAAGAATTTATTGTAATTAGTGAATAAAAAAAATAAAAGGTCTCTTCATTGATATGGGTTGGTCATCCAATTGTTACTACTAATTATTAACAAATTTTAAATGTAGTCTTGTTATCAAGCTCTTATGTAAGTGTTACAATATGTTTTGTGGCTATTGGATATAAGATACCATAAGATTCTGGAACTTTATGCCATCATGACAGCAGTGGTGTACTCTGAAATCTTTGCGGAAGTTTACTTCATATTGTTTTTTTATCTAAAAGTTTTGTTACAGTAGAACCTCGAAAACTCGGCCTAATGTGGACCGAAGGGTGGCCGAGTTTGTGAAAATGCCGGGTTATCGGGAATGGGGTTAAAAAAATTAAGTACGAGTGTTTCCTCAGAAAATACTGTACTGTACTTGTATGTACTGTTTACTTGAGAATATAACAGAGAATAAACTGCCCAAATACCCTTAAACAAAGGAAAAGTATGTCCTTTATGAAGGCATAGAGCCTTTACTACATGAAAATGAAAATTAATGAATACACTGTGTACAGTAATTTACCTGATAAGACAGACCTCAGAAAAATACTTTATGAGAGCATTTATACTTTTATAAAGCTGTCTATAATGAAAATTAATTAACTAAGGATTTTTTTGCCCTGTCAGGGTGTGCCCGAGTTATCCGGAGTGCTGGGTTATCGAGAGCCGAGTTTTCGAGGTTCTACTGTATTAATATATACGTTATCATATATGTACTGTACATTATTAATACATTACTTTCCTTTATATCACAAGGATCGGCGCCACTCATATATTTCGTCGGAAGGAAAATTGTTCATACAGTACAAATTGTATGAGCAAGTTCCATTCGCTTATCAGGAGATATTATATCCCATCTTTGTGAGATTTTTATGAATTCGAATCTTAGTTTAACACCTCAGCAGACAAATTTGCTGCGATAACATCAAATTGTTGCGCTTAATGTGATTTGATGCTTCACTTTATGAATTCAATCCGTAATGCATTGTTGTTTTGTTCTTAGTTTTTGATAATATGAACCTTTCATTTTTTATAAAAATGCCATATAAAGTTACTTATTGCTTCGGGAATATTCGTCATTAATATTCAATACTTAGTACGTACTACTATATATATATTATTTATTCTATAAAGATTTGTAGATTCTATGAGGTAAGTTTAAATGAAAACTTCAAACAAATATCGACTTGTAATTGAACAAACAGTTAGTCTTTGATAGTATGATAAAATTGAAATCATACTTAAGATATATCTCTTGTTTGGCATGAAATGTACTGTCATTTGATTTCATTTTATTGAATAATTTTTAAAATGATAAAAGTCAAAATGATAGAAGAATATATGAATGACAACGTCATGTGATCGATCTTTCAAAATATAAATTGGAATAGAGATAAGTGATTTTTTTCAATACGACACTTTCTTTCTGACTTCCACTAAAAAACTATCAGCAACATACCTTTCATACAGGCGATCACCAGAACCTGCACGAAAGGCCTATCATGAGTGTGTACCCTTTTGTGATTATGGAATTACTGTAGTTCGTCACATAAATACACATATTTTAAATGTTAATATTTTAAAAATGATTTTAGTTATGCTATTTTGTTGAATTTGTATTAATTTCGTTGTACTGTGTTTTTGTGATAAGGAATTTAGGCCCTAAATGTTTTATTTGTGCATTAAAAGCTCTAATATATGAATGGAATATAAAGTAAATGCAGTTAGCTTGGTCATTCAAACTTATAGATTATTTTAAATTAAATAAGAAAAATACTACATTTATTACATATTACAATTTATTTTGTAATTGCACCAATTCTTAACTGAATTATTGTAGATATAAAATATTCACAATTTAGAAGAAACAATAAGTCTTCGCTTCATGTCCTTTAATATCTCAGGAACAGTCTCTACTGGTGGAGTCGACATTTTTATTGAGACTAAGTTTTTATTTCATTATCAATTTTTTAAACTTATTCGAAATAACGAGACTGACTTCATTTCTTTAACATAGTTATAAAAACATATCAAACTTAAAATTAAATACAGTATACATATCCTGGTATTTACTTAAAGAAAAATTGCTGCTTATGTTCATGCTATTTCGAAATAAAATTTATATTAATTATCTTTATCTGTAGTATCAGGTATATTTTTTAAGATTTCTGTTTTTAGATATCAATGTTTTCCAATAAATAATTAGGTACGGTTATAAACAATACATTTGTTTAATTATTTATAAAAGATGTATGTATAAAAAGTAAAAGTAAAATTTACTTTTCCAAAATTTAAACATTTTGTGACTTATAACTGGGTTATAAGAAAATTGATAAATAGAAAACTATTCTAGAAAGTTGGAGAAAGAATAGAACATGCAATCGTAGATCATAAAAAAAATAAAAAGACAGATTTC